TTCCTAATATATAGTAAGTTACATCACTAGTTGCATAGTCAAATGGCAGCGCCTCTGGAGCACGCTACATACATGGTTCTAACAGTAGTTTTGTAGCATATAACATACTTTAATTAATTTTAACACATATCTCAAGTGTTTTACGGACTTTTATTAACTTCAACTCATTTGTCTGGGCTTCCTATGATTAAAATTAACCATTCCTCTTCTTGACCACCTTATTGAACAGATTGAGTATCGGTTTCCATCTGAAATGTCTAATCTTTACAGTGGGTTCTACATCATTCCCAGCATTTTTCTCAATTGCAAAGGTGTTGATTGGAAGGAGTTCATGAAGTTTGCATCCGCTTATATTGATGATATGCCCAACTATCACTCGATTCATGCAGAATTGGGATTATGGGAGACTAGTTGGAAAAAAGGCTTCGAAGATGTTGTGCATGACTCGGTTGCAGAAACTCTACGTCATTGTAACAAACTTGCCTACCCAAATATTTTTACAGCCCACAAGATACTCGCTGTTTTGCCAGTTACTACATGCGAATGTGAACGATCTGTCTCTGCTCTTCGCCGCATGAAAACGTGGTTGCGAAACACGATGACCACTGAACAATTGAATGGACTTGCACAGATGCATAAACGACGATATTCCTATTAATCTTGAAGAAGTGATTAATTCATTTGCCAGACAAAACCCAACGAGAATGCAATTCCTCGACATCCTGGATGACCAAGAAGAAAAAGGAAAGAATGTAAGTAATCAACGAAAAACTGTTCCATGATCCTTTACCTTTGAACATTACTAAAGATCCATTGTGTTATCTGTCGCTGTTGGAAGATCCTTTGCCTTTGAACATTTTACTAAAGATTTACTCTGTTATCTGCCGCTGTTAGAAGATCCATTGCCTAATTTCCTTTGAACATTTTACTAAAGATTTACTCTGTTATCTGCCGCTGTTAGAAGATCTATTGCCTAATTTCCTTTGAACATTTTACTAAAGATTTACTCTGTTATCTGCCGCTGTTGGATGATCCTTTGCCTTTGAACATTTTACTAAAGATTTACTTTATTATCTGCTGCTGTTGGAAGATCCTTTGCCTTTGAACATTTTACTAAAGATTTACTTTATTATCTGCCGCTGTTGGAAGATCCTTTGCCTAATTGCCTTTGAACATTTTACTAAAGATTTACTTTATTATCTGCCGCTGTTGGAAGATCCTTTGCCTTTGAACATTTTACTAAAGATTTACTCTGTTATCTGCCGCTGTTGGAAGATCCTTTGCCTTTGAACATTTTACTAAAGATTTACTGTTATCTGCCGCTGCTGGAAGATCCTTTGCCTTTGAACATTTTACTAAAGATTTACTCTGTTATCTGCTGCTGTTGGAAGATCCTTTGCCTTTGAACATTTTACTAAACATTTACTCTGTTATCTGCCGCTGTTGGAAGATCCTTTGCCTTTGAACATTTTACTAAAGATTTACTGTTATCTGCCGCTGTTGGAAGATCCTTTGCCTTTGAACATTTTACTAAAGATTTACTCTGTTATCTGCCGCTGTTGGGAGATCCTTTGCCTTTGAACATTTTACTAAAGATTTACTGTTATCTGCCGCTGTTGGAAGATCCTTTGCCTTTGAACATTTTACTAAAGATTTACTCTGTTATCTGCCGCTTTTGGGAGATCCTTTGCCTTTGAACATTTTACTAAAGATTTACTCTGTTATCTGCCGCTGTTGGAAGATCCTTTGCCTTTGAACGTTTTACTAAAGATTTACTGTTATCTGCCGCTGTTGGAAGATCCTTTGCCTTTGAACATTTTACTAAAAATTTACTCTGTTATCTGCCGCTGTTGGAAGATCCTTTGCCTTTGAACATTTACTAAAGATTTACTCTGTTATCTGCCGCTGTTGGAAGATCCTTTGCCTTTGAACATTTTACTAAAGATTTACTCTGTTATCTGCCGCTGTTGGAAGATCCTTTGCCTTTGAACATTTTACTAAAGATTTACTGTTATCTGCCGCTGCTGGAAGATCCTTTGCCTTTGAACATTTTACTAAAGATTTACTCTGTTATCTGCTGCTGTTGGAAGATCCTTTGCCTTTGAACATTTTACTAAACATTTACTCTGTTATCTGCCGCTGTTGGAAGATCCTTTGCCTTTGAACATTTTACTAAACATTTACTTTGTTATCTGCCGCTGTTGGAAGATCCTTTGCCTTTGAACATTTTACTAAAGATTTACTGTTATCTGCCGCTGTTGGAAGATCCTTTGCCTCTGAACATTTTACTAAAGATTTACTCTGTTATCTGCCGCTGTTGGGAGATCCTTTGCCTTTGAACATTTTACTAAAGATTTACTGTTATCTGCCGCTGTTGGAAGATCCTTTGCCTTTGAACATTTTACTAAAGATTTACTCTGTTATCTGCCGCTGTTGGAAGATCCTTTGCCTTTGAACATTTTACTAAAGATTTACTGTTATCTGCCGCTGTTGGAAGATCCTTTGCCTCTGAACATTTTACTAAAAATTTACTCTGTTATCTGCCGCTGTTGGAAGATCCTTTGCCTTTGAACATTTACTAAAGATTTACTCTGTTATCTGCCGCTGTTGGAAGATCCTTTGCCTTTGAACATTTTACTAAAGATTTTTTACTAAAGATTTACTCTGTTATCTGCCGCTGTTGGGAGATCCTTTGCCTTTGAACATTTTACTAAAGATTTACTCTTTTATCTGCCGCTGTTGGGAGATCCTTTGCCTTTGAGCATTTTACTAAAGATTTACTCTGTTATCTGCCGCTGTTGGAAGATCCTTTGCCTTTGAACATTTTACTAAAGATTTACTCTTTTATCTGCCGCTGTTGGGAGATCCTTTGCCTATGAGCATTTTACTAAAGATTTACTCTGTTATCTGCCGCTGTTGGAAGATCCTTTGCCTTTGAACATTTTACTAAAGATTTACTGTTATCTGTATTATGAAGTTCGACACTTTCGCACCGTAAATTCTCGTATTAGATAACAATAAACAAATCTTTAATAAACAATAACCATTTACCAAATATTTACAAAATATAAATCGTAAACTTCCCTCGATAACTCGTAAACTTCTCTGGATAACTCGTAAATTCGATACATACAACCGGCTACAAAAGCTATTTATCTCGCAGTAAAAGTACAATTCTTGTATGTAAAAAACCCACAAACCGGAAGTATCAAGACTTCCACGAACTGTTCACGTGTTCATTAACAAACATACTTCAATGTAAATCTAATCTTTAGCACACTCCCCCAAAGTTTACTAACTCAGTTATAAACTTTAAACGATAATTATCAATATGCAAGTCTCCTAATCAACTCTCCTGTTACTGCCGCTGTTCGCCTTGGTCTTCCACCTTCTGTTACTGGATCAGGAAGACTTTTATCTTCACTCGCTGATTCGACTGGCGTTTTCTTCTCATTTACCATTCTTCTTTAGTTGTGGTCGATTTTGAAGACACTTCGATTAGCACCAGATGCTGAACAGCTCTTCTCGTTGTATATACTTTACCGTTCTCGCCACTGATTTTCACTTTCGCTGCTCGTACCCTTTCCGTCCGCTCCTGGAATCAACTCTTCAACTCCCGCTAATCGCCAAAACGCTCTTGGTGTTGAATCTTTTTTCACTATTATGATATCTCCATCTTCAATTTCTCTTGACCTTGAGTTCTTTGATTTGACGCTCGACTGTTCCCTTAAACTTGTTAAATACTCTCGTCTCCACTGAGCCGTTAACTGTTGTAGCAATGTCCTGTGATAACGAATTAGTTTCGTAAGTGATCGATTGGTGCTCACTACTTTGTGGTGGGAACTATTGGGTTGAGTGGTTATTCTTCGTCCATAGACGAGGTCAGAGGGAGTTAAGGGTTGTGATATAGAATATCGTCTCCATAAACATACATTATCGGTCTTGAATTAATTAATGCTTCTATCTCGATAAGTATTGTTTGAAGCTCGTCAACAGAGAGTGTTGATTTTCCAATAACCTTCTTAAGGGTCGTTTTACGCTACGCACTAATCGTTCCCAAAATCCGCCCCATCAGGGGGCTCGCTCCACGATAAAATTCCAAGTAATGCGTTTTTCAGCCAGAAACTGCTGAACGTCTTGCAAACGAACAATTCTTTGGATTTCTTTATCTGCCGCCTTGAAGGTCGCGTTGTCAAATAGTAAAGTTGCTGGTAGACCACGCCTGCTCGAAAATCGTCGAAACACTAACAGGCTGGAACACCAACACCTCGAGTTAGTTCTAGATGCACAGCTCTAGTCGATGCACAGGTAAATAACAACACGTAGTATTTCTCGCCATTTTTGTAAAGCGGACCCGCGAAGTCCAGACCCGTGTGCATAAAGGGAGGATTGTCAACCACTCGAACTTCGGGTAAATCAGGCGTTGGTTGTGTCTTGAACGGAGCACCTTCGTATCTTGCGCAAACTAAACATTTCTTTAAAACTCTCTTTACGCTCTCTCTTCCTCGAAGAATCCAGAAACGTTCTTGAACTGTGGTCAAGGTGGATCGCACGCCGTCATGCTGTACACTCTTATGTATATTCTCGATTAACAATTCCACGAAATAATTCTTCGACGGCAAGAATACCGGAGTCTTGCAGTTGGCCGGTAAAGGTGAATTGTTGATACGTCCCTTACAACGAATGATGCCCTTTTCATCGCAAAAAAAAGACCAAACTGGATCATATAAATAGTGTTCGATTCTTGGTTCAAGTTTGTTGTCAAAACTTTGTACTCCATAGGAAACGATTCGCGCTGCACCGCTTTAATCCACAGAGTTTCAGCTTCATTCACCTCCTTAGCTGTAAGTCCATCTGTTGTTGTTTCTTTATTAACGCCTTGATTCTTTGCATTTCGCAAGAACCGCAAAACATACGCTGTTGCTTGTAATAACCTCGATAATTTACTGAATCGTGTAATGTCCATTACATTCGCTATACAGTGGTTTTCCGAAATCGCTTCATTTGTCGCCAAGGTGTTCTTGTGCTGTCATATCGCTTGGCCATGTCGCCGGGGAATGGTGGAGAAAGTCCGGACCTCTCCACCAAGTTTCGCTAGTCGCTAATTCTTTCGCTTCGAGCCTACGAGCTGGAAGATCAGCGGGATTTTCTGTTCCAGGGCAAAACCGCCACGAATCCTTAAGAGTTAAACTACGAATCTCTGCGACTCTGTTTCGAATATACTGTTTCCAACAACGATCGTTCTTGATCCAACACAACGCCACCGTTGAATCCACCCAGTAAGTGGTATCGACTTCTCCTATGATATCTCTTATCTTCCTAGTTGATCGTGCTAGGATCAGCGCTCCTATCAACTCCAATCGCAGAATACTTTGCTGCTTAGTTGGAGCAACTCGGGTTTTCGCTGTGACCAAGGTAATTTGTACTCGACCATCACTGTAAATGGACCTGAAATACATTACAGCAGCATACGCATTCTTCGACGCGTCACTAAAACCATGCAGCTCTACCGTAATCGTATTTGTGTCCTTGCAGAAATAATATCCAGGAATTCGAATTGAATTCAATTGAATAATCTCACTTCGTAAAGCTAAAAACTTCAGTTTCCGTTCGCCGACTAATTCCTGATCCCAATCTACTTTATCAAAACAAGCAATTTGAAACAGTATCTTCAACGTCACTGTAAACGGAGAGATCAAACGTAGCGGATCAAAGATCTTGGCGACCAGAGATAACAACGAACGCTTAGTGATAGGTAGCGAATTTGCATAATTTTGCAACTCAACGAAATCAAAGAAAATCGTGTCCGTGCTAGTATTCCAACGAACTCCTGGTAATTTCACGATGTTACTTGACATAGCTGTTCCTTGACTTGTCGTCGACTTCGCATAAGACTCATCGTCTTCCCGAGAAACTACATGCTCTGTTTCCCGCTTTGACTCGACTTGCTCGATTTTTTCTAAAACCTCCGAGGAACTAGAACTCCACTTCTTCAAGTTGAACCCGCCCTTCGCCATGATCTCCTTTGATCTTTCGTAAATTTTAAACGCCTTCGAAACGCTACTCTCCCCCGTTAATAAATCATCCGCATAAAACGCTTTCGAGAGCAACTCTGCCATTTCTGGTTCGCTTTTCTTGAAAGAGTCGAGATGATACTGTATTACAGAACCAAGAATCGAGGGGGATGGTCTCAGAGCAAACATCAAACAACTGAAACGAAGGACTACAGTTGTGGGTTCATCATCGAAGGGGTCGTCAAACCACAAGAAACGTAACATGTTTTTGTGCTCGGTTTTAAAACCAACCATGAGAAAGGACTTCTCTATATCCTTCGTAATTGCGATGGAGTTTGAACGAAACCTTACGAGCATATCAAAAATATGAGGGATATTGTTTGGGCCGTTTTTTAGACAGTCGTTTAAGGAAAGTTCCTGTGTTCCCGATTTTGCGGACCCGTCATAAACTATCCGAACTTTCGTCGTACTTACGTCGTTCTTACGTAATTTGCGGTATAAGGACAACAAACGGTTGTTACACGATTCAAAATTTTCAGGAAGAGGTAAACGATCACGTTTCCACGGTAAACTTACTTCGTAACGCTGTCCATTAAATTCTATGTCCGGACAAAACTCGCTTGAGATTAAATGTGGGTCATCAACTGCTTCGTCGCAAATCCCAATCGCTTCTACGTCCCAGAAACGTTTGAGTTCATGCGTAATCTCGTCAGGTATTTCGTTTGGGTAATCCAATTCACTCCCCCCCTGACAACCTCGATTTGGTTGCCCACGGATGGAGGTTCAGTTGGACCCGACAAAACCCAACCAAATTTGCTCTCAATTGCTAGGGGACCACTTTCCCCACGAATAACTTCGCCTGTGATAATGTCCCAGTAATAATCAGACCCAATCAAAACATCGATACCTTCTTGGTCGTTAGTCGTACAATCAGCCAACTCTAAGTCATGCAAGTGTGGAAATTCAGATATATCAAGGTTTGTCCCTAATGGTGTGCAAATGACAGGAAAACTTAAGGCTGAAATCGGAAAACACTGTCCGTCACGATTCTTGAACTCGAGCGAAAACTCTTGACATTTCTGTGTCTTGTATTTGTTATTACCGAAAGTGTTTAATCGTAAAGTCTCACGTTTCCCTGGGTTTAAATCTAGCTTAGCTTGTAAACTGTCCGTAATATAGGACCTTTGACTGCCATTTTCAAAGAGAATCCTCACAGGTGTTGATCGCGAACCATTTTCATTTATTGCAGTTGTACATGCAGTTTGTAACAAAACGTACCTTTTATTCGTGCTCGGTGCAGCAGCCATTGTGGTACTTTCGGTTTCATCCGAATTCTGATCCTCTGGTTTCGGGAGCTTAGACTCGTGCCCTTTGCCGCAAATCGACTGGTGATGCGATCCATTACAATGCCGACAGTTTCTGGGGCTCCTACAATCTCTAACGTGGTGCCCCTTGTAGAGACACCTAAAACATTGAGCAGAATTCTTCAAAATAGCTTCACGCTCATTCACTGACATGACTTTCTCGCATGGGGCCGAATAATGCCAACCACTACAAAATACACACTGGATTTTTGACCCAGTTTGCCCATGATTCGACTGTCTACTAGAACTTGGAGGCTGTCCTTCACCACCTCTTGTACCAGCCAATAGACTGTTCGCAGTAGGTGTCTGACCTTTCACACCCTCGTCTCGCTTATTGGGGCCCCCCCTCTATGTCACTTGGCATTTTGGACATTATAATGGGGATCAACAAACTGCCATACTGTTACGATGATATGCCTAAGGAAGCTAGTCCTCGTACATGCACACTAATTTTATCGTACACAAACCTGAGGGAAGTTAAACGATCTCCCGTACAAGCTTGTATTTTGAGCAGTTCATCCATGTGTGCGGTAATTATTTGCTGTAGTCGCCCGAAACGATCTTGTAAAATATGTATTGCACTGTCATAATTTGCTCCGGTTAGAGTTAATCCTTGAATTGAACGTAATGCTGGGCCCTCCAATAGCGAATTCAAATAGTTAAATTTGTCTATCTTTGAAATCTCGTTATTATTGTGTATTGCGGATCCAAATGAATCCCAAAACGTACTCCATTTCGTTACTTGTCCCTTGAACTTTGTCAATGATAGTTTTGGTAACTTTGTTTTCGATGACCTCACTGTTGGTTCAGTTGCATTTGCACTACTAGTACTAGTGTCAAGATTGCTACCATTGTGTATATTGATGCTATCGTTAATTCCACCCACGTTTGCTGTGTTACTCTCGGTTTGATTTGAATTCTCGACTATAAGGCTCGCATTCGATGTGCTACTACCTTCGTTTTGACTTGAACCATCAACATTTACAACTGTGTTTTGACTAATTTGACTCACCGTATTCTTGCTTGTTTGTTCATATAAAAACTTCTTGACCTTCTTAATCGCGTTCAAAAGTCGTCCTTCTACTTCGGCTGCCTCTTCGATTTCGCCCTCGATATCTTTCACGTCGCATATTGTAATTATTTCCTCGTCAATTTCTTTAAACAATTTCAACTTTTCTTGTAACAACTTGTTTATTATTTCGCCTCGACTCGTATCGCATTCATCGCTCGTAACTACCTCATCTACTTCCTTCGCAAGCTTCGTACTAACTCCTCGATGTCCACCACGCTTTGCTCAAAGTCTACCTAACTTCTCCTTCGATTCTGACATGTTTATTTTGTCGATATGGGTCTGTTTGGCCGTTCAAACAAGCCCCACGTTGGGCGCCATATTAAGTTTGACACTTTCGCACCGTAAATTCTTGTATTAGATAACAATAAACAAATCTTTAATAAACAATAACCATTTACCAAATGTTTACAAAATATAAATCGTAAACTTCCCTGGATAACTCGTAAACTTCTCTCGATAACACGTAAATTCGATATATACAACCGGCTACAAAAGCTATTTATCTCGCAGTAAAAGTACAATTCTTGTATGTAAAAAACCCACAAAGTATCAAGACTTCCACGAACTGTTCACATGTTCATTAACAAACATACTTCAATGTAAATCTAATCTTTAGCACAATCTGCCGCTGTTGGAAGATCCTTTGCCTTTGAACATTTTACTAAAGATTTACTCTGTTATCTGCCACTGTTGGGAGATCCTTTGCCTTTGAACATTTTACTAAAGATTTACTGTTATCTGCCGCTGCTGGAAGATCCTTTGCCTTTGAACATTTTACTAAAGATTTACTCTGTTATCTGCCGCTTTTGGGAGATCCTTTGCCTTTGAACATTTTACTAAAGATTTACTCTGTTATCTGCCGCTGTTGGAAGATCCTTTGCCTTTGAACGTTTTACTAAAGATTTACTCTGTTATCTGCCGTTGTTGGAAGATCCTTTGCCTTTCAACATTTTACTAAAGATTTACTGTTATCTGCCGCTGTTGGAAGATCCTTTGCTTTTGAACATTTTACTAAAAAGTTACTCTGTTATCTGCCGCTGTTGGAAGATTCTTTGCCTTTGAACATTTTACTAAAGATTTACTCTGTTATCTGCCGCTGTTGGGAGATCCTTTGCCTGTCTCTGGACGTTTTTAGACGAGTTGATGTAGAAAAGGTGGCTCTTGATAATTTTTTTTTCTTGTGTTTACGCAGAAAATAAATGGTCGTGAATTGTCTTTTCATTTTTCATTGTCTTCAAATGGTGGAATGGAAAGTAAGGTGCGTTTGCATATTTATCTGACTGGTCTATTTATGGCTTTGAAATCAGGTATGTTCACTATTTTATATTCGCTTGAATGGTGTGACAATGTAGTGAATTTTTTATGTATTGTTGTATTATTTTTTGTGTGAAATAACAGGGGTTTTTTCTACATTTTATTCGTGCATTTTTTGCAAACTATTTGCTCAAAACACAGGAAATCGCATTTGCGAGATCCTAGATTTCAAAATTTTCCAGGGGGGAATGCTCCCGACCTCGCTAATTATGCGAGACTCAGGATTGTGCATCGATCACGAAATAACCTAGATCCGCCCCTGAATGACAGTTAATTAAAGAATCAGCAATAACTTAAAAGCAGCAATAATCAGAAACCTAAGGCTCTCACCCACTGACTTTCACATCCTACTGGCACTATATCAATATAAATTTAACTTACCACATAATTGTTTCGACAAGATACTTCACTTGCAAATACTGATTTGCTACTGGACCCAAAGCTGTTTCATAAATGTTGGATTGCAACACTTTTTTAAAACCATCAATCTCGGTCCAGTTTAGACCATTTCGAGCCAAGCATAGCTTAACTGCAGCACCTAGTGTCTGGAGGCATTGGTCCACCAACGTTTTTGTATTTTCTAACATTGAGTCAATAGCTTGTTGACTCACAAGATTAACCTCTTTAGTTTTCAAAACGAATAGAGCAACAAACTTTGTGATTTTCTCAATGTCTGTATCTTGGGCATCATTGTTGTCTTCTTGGTCATTTTGATCATTAACTTCATTTGGGATATCAATAATCCCATGGTCTGTATCTTCATCTTCTTCACGAAACGAATTATCTTGCGCGCATTGTTGCTTGTGTTTTCTGTTCAAGTGAGATTTGAATGATGAATACTTTTTGAAAACTTGTCCACAGTATGTGCACGAAATTGTAAAGTTCGGTTCGTTGCTATGAACAAATCTGATGTGACGCAGATATCTATTAAACCGTTGTCCGGTAAACTCGCCACAGTATGGACAAAAGTACATATCAATTCATAAAAACACAGTGCCTTTGGCTATAAATAACATTAAAAATTGCCGTCCGCAAAACACTGAAAGTAAATGAGCCTTCTGAAAGTACGTTAATTATATGTGGATCCATTGCTCGTATAATATTGAACCATATAATTTATATCCCTAGCAGGAAACGCACATGCATGTATATGCAGTTTACAGTTACTCATATTTGTTTTGTGTGTATTTTATTTAGAGGAACTTGGTGAAGTCGCACTCGTCTTGTTACCATTTCTACTGCCTCAAAAGAGGAGTAAGGCGAACCAAGAAGAGTTCGTGCAGTTTGTCTCGGTAAGAGCCTGTTGCCCGGCGTTGATCTATAGAATGCACATACTTGCTGCTGTGAGAAACACGGCTGCGGCTAACTTTTATTCTAGGCGCGAGCACTAATCATACCTGTCTATAATTCATATAGGAGGATAAAGATATTAATGTGCATGCGGCAAGCCTCAAGTCAATTTTCCCGGTGATTGTCGTTAAGGGGGGATTTGAAGGAATTCTGAGTTCGAGCATCGTTGCTGATAAACAAGTCCTGTTCGAAGTGGAAGGTGGTATGTTAGAAGCCACCATGCTTTTGTTTGCGACGTATTATGTTTTTATGTTTGAGTATCCGTCTACGCTGAACAATTTTTCTACGTATTTACACAAGCGTATTTTTAATATACCAGATTCTAGAAAACTTCCAACTTCTGTAATTTGCTTTGTAAACGAACTAGAGAGCAAAGATGACTAGTAAAAATGTAAATAGACTTAACGAGCTTGTATAATATATTATTTGTATAACAACATGGTTCTGAATTGTTTTCTTCAAACTTCAAACAAGAGTTTATGGATAAGAGTAAAAATCTTAGCAAATGCGATGAAATTTGGGCTAAGTCAAGTGTTAATGCAAATACGCCAGCTTTCGACAGCTCTATTGTCTCGAATGAATTCACAAACCCTATTGAGAACATTGGGCGTGAAATAATTTCAGTGCTAAATGAGTCAACAGAGGATAACAACACGACCAGCACTGAACAATTAACAAAAGACGGACATCAACTGACCTATGCGAATGTATTGGCATCCCGTAATTGTTAAGACATCAATGAAAAGTCTGATACAGACAATATAAATACAACTGGTGATACTCCACAACGTAAAATCAATAATAGCATTGAGTCATCTTGCGACCCCGAGGGCTTTATTGGAGTCAATAGAAAGCGAAATAAAACAAAGAAATATTTCCTGTCTGGTGTAGCCAATAACGTTAAAGAAAGTCAAATCATCTTGTGTCTTGAGCGACGAAACATAATTCCAACATACATTTCCGCTTTCCCCAGTCGACGCAAAGGAACACTATCAGTTAAGATCCATGTTCCCTCGGCGGTCAGTTCACAAGTGCTAGAAGATAACTTTTGGCCCAAATTCGTTAGTTGTAAACCATGGCGACCGAGAGGAATTGTTAAGAATCCCACAGAACAGAAAACAAATTTGACCCTCGACGGGAACTACTCTATGTATGTATAATGGCCAACTTAATACCAGTTAGAATTTCCTCTCGTAGTCGTAGGAATCTATTACCTGCTCAAAAGTCAGAATTTTCCCCAAGAATCTTATTGACTAACGTTATGTCCTTAGTCCCCAAGATTGACGAGTTACGTATTCTAACGTCTGAAAACAGTTTCGATTTAATTTTTGTTACTGAAACCTGGCTACGAGAATCCATTTGTGACAATCATGCGACCTTAACTGATTACCACCTCTTAAGGCGAGACCGCGTCTTCGGCACCCATGGCGGCGTTTGCGTGTACATAAAGAACTCTATTATGTTTAAACGACTACCCGACATCGAACATCCAGACTTTGAGGTATTATGGACACATGTTAGCCACCTAGATTACCAAGAGGAATAAACTGTATCGTTTCAGCATGTGTTTACCACACACCAAGTTCTAATAATGCAGATCTCTTTGAATATCTATCCGAATCTTTGACACGAATTGATAGTCTTTTCCCAGGGTGTGGCATCATCATTGCCGGTGACTTTAACCAGTTCGTTACCAGAGACCTCTGTCGTGACTTTCAGTTAAGGCAATTGGTAAACAAACCAACGCGAGGCACCAATACCCTAGACCTCATACTTACGAACATGTACAAATTTTATGATACAAAATCAGCTATTGTATTGCCTCCTCTAGGTTTATCAGACCATAATGTAATAATTGTTGAGCCCAAAACTAGAAGACCTGTTGGTATCTCAAGTAGAAGAACTGTCATCAAAAGAGACACTCGTCAGTCACGTAAGAATGAACTTGGTCGTTTCCTGTGTAACATCGACTGGCATATTGGAAACTCAACCATATCCTGCGATGATAAATGTAATTTTTTATGTTCCATCATTAAATCTGGTTATGATACTCTAATCCAGAAGCTGGTAAAATTCCATCACAACGACACTCCTTGGATCACAGAAAAATTGAAACAACTGATAAAACTGAGACAACATGCTTTTTCGTCTAATAACACTTCACTTTTTAAATTCTATCGGAATAGAGTGAACAGAATGAGGAAATCCTGTAGGGGAAAATATTTTGCTACCAGAGTTGCCAATCTAAAAAAGTCCAACCCGAAATCATGGTGGTCGGAAGTTAAACGTATTTCCGGTATGAAACCAGTAACCAGCTGCCTGCTGAATCAACTTCATATCGAGGATACAGAACATCTAACACATAAAGGTTTCTCAGATTTAATCAACAATAGCCTATTAGAACCAATGAATTTTTACAGTCCATTAGATGCCTCAGATGTAGAAATCCTGTTCGAAGGAATCCCTGACGATCCACCAGATTTAGATATGAACCTGACTGATACTGAAATGGTGTTTAAAAAACTGAAACGCCTAAATCCATCCAAAGCCCCAGGTCCCGATGACATTCCAAACTGGATTCTTCGTGATTATGCCAAAATCCTTGCCCCCCCTATATCAAACCTATTGAATTCCTCTTACAAAAAAAAGAAGCTTCCCTTGTCGTGGAAACAGGCTAATATAACACCCATTCCAAAGGAGAAACCTGTTAAGGACATAAACAAACACCTTAGACCTATATCGTTAACCCCTGTCCTATCTAAGCTTGCGGAGGAATTTGTCGTGGAAAAATACTTAGCCCCAGCTGTGCTTACGGTAATAGATCCCTTTCAATTTGGTGGCATCCCTCGATCTTCTGCTACCAAAGCTTTAATTTCTATGATTCATTCTTGGTCTCAAGCCACTGATGGAACAGGTAATGCAGTAAGAGTGGTATTATTTGAT